ACTTCCGAAAGTTGAGGATCCACCTGTAGCTCTGAAGAGTCTGCACAGTTCTCTGGATATTGACAGAGAGCGCATGGGTAAACCAATCCTTCAACAGAAGGTTGTTCATGTACCCTACAACATGAATGCCTTGAAAGTGCATCAAGGCAAGCACAGGAGCCAACACCTTAGTAATGACCTGGGGGCTGTGGGAGGGAGGAAGCAAAACAGGAAGTGTCTCTCTCCACCGCACAGCGCAGGAAGCATTGATGCAGAGAGAAAATAGGGATGTGTAAGATATCAACATGTAACAGATAAGCATGTCAACAGATGCCAGGAATGCTTCTTGCTGCAGGGATGCAACGTCTGACCTGTATTATTTCATCCGAAGCTTCCTGACCTGAAGGAGGAGAATATGGGCCTTTAGGTCCAGGATGGGATCAACTTCACCACTTGCCTTAGTGGAGTTGATCCCATCAATAAACAGATTGGAATAAAACCCCTGCAACCTTTCTGCTGCAGAAACAGGAACAATAACTCCCACTGAAAGAAGTTTCTGCAAGACAGCATAAAGATCTTCCAGCTTCCGTGGGAGAAAGGCAGATGTGACAACATGAATTGGGGTGGTGGTGGAGACAAACTCCAGCTTGTACCCCAGGAACATGACATTCTGGACCCAGAAGTCTGGACCAGGTTGCCACGAAGGGGACCCAGAAGTCTGGACCAGGTTGCCACGAAGGCCGACAGACCTCCCCCAATTGAAGAAGTGGGGCACCTCGTCATTGTGAGGTGGCTTATACTCTGGCCTGCCCAGCTTAGGGTTCCAAGGCTTGTGGTAGAACTATGGGCTGAAAGGAATCCTTCCGAAACCCAGAAGTGGAGGGCCTACCTGCAAGAGTTCTTGCCTTCTTCTCACTAGGCAAAAGAACACTCTTACCCCCGGTGATATCCTTGATTAAAAAATCCAAAAATTTGCAGAAGAGCTGTTCTCCTTTCCAGGCATTTCTTACATGTCAGTTCCGCAGACCAACACATTAGCCACAAGATCCTGTGCATATGGATGGACAGAAGACCAACCCTGGATATCTGGAGTAAAGTATCAGCCAACCCATCTACACAGCAGTGTAGTGCTACAGGCAAAAGCTCCAATTGCTGACTTCTACTGCCATTGCCATCCTCTTCGGTGGGCAAACCCCCACTTGAAAGGGGGACTTCAGGGACAGGATACACCAGACAAGTGGACCATCGCCCTGGACCTGTATAGCACCTGCTGCTGACCAGGCCTAGTTGCCGAGGCTTTGCCAAGGAGCACCAATCCAGAACCTGCAAGAACAGCCACAGTGGCTATGTGGCTGCCAGTTTTGAAAGTAAACTTCTTTAGGAAAAACATCTATCAACTAAGAAACTAGCAAAAAAAACTGAGGATCCCTGGGAAGTAGGAAGGGTTATATGGGGGTCCTTACAGCTCTGTTTTATCAGTTTCTAATTACCTCAAGGTAGCTGCATTTAACCCAGTCTATGATTACATCTGTGCCCTGTACTGTATGATCAAGGAAATGTGTTACTTTCATTATGTCCAGCACCGAGTCACCCCAAGGAGATCTTTTTTCATAGGCCACTGCTGTTAAGTAGATGAGGTCCACTTAATATAATTTACAAGTGGATTGAACAGGTTGTTGTGCAGGCCTATAAGTTGCAAGTTCACTCCACCAAACCAGTGAGTATTTCTTAGACATGAAAATTCAATTTTGTTGCTAATAGATATTAGCACAAATTTCATTAAAATCGGACAGATGCATCCAATCTTCCAAATTTGCACGCGTCCGAATGCAAAAGAATCCGGATGATCGTTTAACAAGAATTTGGATCTGTCTGAACGTTGTTCTTAACGAAACTAGATCAGACATGTGACTGTTCTCTGGCCAATCAGAATTTTTTTGGGCTCTTGGGGGTTGCATTACAGACATGCGACTTCCTGTTGTGAATTAGATAGAGTCGATAAGCGTAATAGGAGAGCACACGGTGTCAGAACTAAAATGACCACCCCCCCCAAACAAAAGTGAATTTATAATTGAAGAACCCAATCCGAATAAATTCGAAAATAAAATTTGGATCGTTCCGAAATGAACATTCGGATTGATCTGAAATCCGAATAACGAACCAAATGGAATTTCGCATTCCAAATCTGACAAACGAAAAAAAGTCAAATCCAAATCGATCCACAACTAAACTATATTTTTAGGGGGTTACATGTTTAGTATGTCTTAGGCTGGGACTTTTGTCTTGCGATGGTTGTAAGGTACTTAAAAAAACGTACGATCTGCCTATCTTGCATAGGCAGATCGTACTTGCAATGATCACAAGCCACGCCCCCTGAGGGGCGGGCTTACGATGACCGCAATGCCGAACGGGCAGTGTGCGCTTGCGGCTGTTACCGTACGGACATGCCACAAACCCGCCGAACGATGCTCGGCGTGTTTTCGAACATGTCCGTAAGTTCAAAGTCGTGCGACCTTACAGTAGTAGAAGTCGCACGGCTTCCACACACCTTACGATAATCGTACGATCGCGGGATTTCCCGCAATTATCGTATGATTATCGTAAGGTGTGTGGGGACCTTTAAGCTTTTTGTCATCAGGACTGTCATCTGGTCTTCTGTTATCAAAGTTTTACAAGGTCGATGTATCTGCTCTGCATACTCTAGTTTCATCTGAAAAGTTCTGCAAGTAGCTATTTAATGTCCTTGTTTACTCTTGTTGGACTGGTATACCTGTGTTTGTTTGGTGTGCCCGCCCTCAGTTTGTACTGCTTTTGGACATCCCTTGATTGCTTGTTGTCAAAAAAGCTGTATCTCTTAATAGGCAATAAAGAAAATAGGATTTTTGTACTCACTGTAAAATCTTTTTCTTGGAGTCCATTAAGAGACAGAGCTCCCTCCCCTCATATGCTATCATTTCACCTTTTGGGCTGCTTGCTACAACTAAGCATGTATTGAATAGGAGGTGTGCAGAGAGCAAAGTCGTACAGTAACTAATAAAAAATAAATAAAAGTGTAAATTGTTAAACGGCCACACCTTTTTATTTTTTTATTTAATTATTTCATATTATTGTTTTTAAATTTGTATTTAGTTAATTTTTTTTAAATCAATTTAAAAAAATGTCACCTAACTTTATTGCTATCACACAGGAGAAAACAATGCCCTGTGTGATAGCAATTGGAGATGACAGGTTCTCTTTATTGACCCTGTCACCTCCAATACAGGAGTTCTAGCACAGCACTGTGCTGGAACTCCTGTGACAGGTGAGAGAGGAAGAGCACAGCTCTCCCCTCTCACTGTCTACACGGAGCGGCAGGGTTACTTTTAACCCTGCCGCTCTGCTCACTGCAGTGAGGAGAGACTCGGCGGCAGGGGACGGAGCCAACGAGGAGAGAGGTAAGTGCAGGGGGGAGGGGAGGACGGACCGGCCGCCTGCAGACTTTTTACATGTGATCTCGGCGATAGCCGAGATCACATGTAAACGAACAATCGGCTGCCTCACACTACATTCCTCAGAAGGACACCGCTGCCGCCCCTCTGCGCCCTGCCGCCCCAGGCCAGGCCTCGGTGGCCTTGTGGGAAATCCGGGACTGCATGTATTAATGTTAGCATGTTTCCATATGTAAAACTGAGACTTGTAAAACAAAATAATGCAGTGGCAGTAGACCCAAAAGTGATGTTTCAGTTCTAGGTGTCATTTGGGACTACAGTGGTCTACCTTTCATGATTCCTGCTTTTTTACCCCTGCCTTGAATTCTTGGCTGTTCCTACATTTTACTGGGTGTTATTGTCACGTACCGCAGGGCAGAGCCCCTTGCGCCAGGTCTGGATCCCAGTAGCAGGAAGCAGGTGAGATAAACAGTCCAAATACAAAGTCCAAAGGGGTGAGACAAGCCGTAGTAATGCAGTTCTGTGTTCAGGGCAGGTAGCATAGTATCAGTAATCCAGAAAACAGGGTCCGAGGGTCAGGTAGCCGGGAGTCCAAAACTAGGGGTAGGAATGCAGGAACAGGGGACAAAGATGCAGGAACAAACGCTGAGTCTCTGTGAGCAGGGCTTCAGAATAACCTAGAGCTGAGCTAGTAGTGTTGTGAGGTTTTAAAGCCCAGGAATAGAGGCAATGCCCCTGTTGCTGTGGAAACAGAGGTGGAGTTAGGGCGGTGCTCAGTGTATTGCTGAAGGCTTGTGTTCCTTGGGAGGAAGTGAGATTTTGCATGTTGTCAGTTGCTGTGCATGCTGGATCCCTATTGGGGTTTATAGACGTCACACCAGGATTCCCCGCATGTGACACCACCAAGGGAGATGGAGAGCAGAGTAAACCTTTCCAGGTGAAAGTGTTTCTCTTCCGGAGGCCGCTAATCTAATAACGGGAGACTCCCAGAGCGTCCGGGAGAGTAATGACAGATCAGCGTCCCTGGTTACCTGGTATCTCACGGCTGGCTCCGCCCTGCTGTCAGCAGCAGGCTGTCGGCCGGCCAATGGCCGGCCGTTCGGCCAGCTTCGGCTTTCACCTCGGCTCCGTTGAGCCAAGGCATATGCCTTCGGCTCGACTGAGCCGCTCGGCCAACTTCGGGAGCTGTACGGGCTATAGTGAATAGCCCGTACAGCAGCCCATTGGTTCTTCTAAGGGGTCCTGGGGCCGAAGCTAGCTGAAGGATCAGCCGAAGCTACAGCTAAATTCTTCGGCAGCTTTGTGAATATGAAACATATGAAATCACCATGGGTGCAATGCTTCAGAAATCAAAAGACTAAGCTACCTATAAAAGTTATAACAGATGTTGTAATTTCATAAAAACTACTACTCTACTGAAGAAAAGTAGCTTAGAAGGCACAAAGATTGGACTGACCCACAATTAGGAAAACAAAAGCTATTTTTTGTTTTCTCCATACTTAGAGGTGCTCATGTTGCAAGTTTTTGGGCAGGCTCAAAAGAAGCATTTGTCTTCAACATCTTCTACAATGGTCCTCATATGGTTAAACTTACTGTGCAAGAACATAGGGGTCCAAGTCCAATATACTGCTTTGGGAAAAATATCTGTCGATTTTTGAGAAAGATTTCACCGATTCCTCAGTATCCTACAAATGAAAATAAGGTTATTATAATTATTACCAAATATATATCATATATAAATAGAATGTTCATGTCATCCAGTATGTTGCATACTATTAATAATCAATGAAATACTAATTCATTTGCATCACTCAACATTATTGCATACGTTTATAATGTAATTTAATTTATATTGTTCAAAATGTTTGGTGATTCTGACCCAAAAAAAGGTAAATGTCCTAGTAAAATCAATGTAGTTTAGCAAAAAAACAAGTAGGAAAAGTTTTTTGTTTTAAGACTTTTTTTCCTCAAAAAGGGAAATGTATCTATGCAGTTATTTGTAGAAGTAATAGCACATTTCTTGTACTCTGTTTGAATATGTATGAAGCCAATGAACATTTCTTGTTTCAATATGAACTTACAGGTTAATCACAAAACTTCTTACAACCTCAAGAAATGTGTAGTCTCTCTGATGTGATACAATCCACAATCCAGACAGACATTATTTGTGTCAGAGTTCATTTGTTATCCATGTCATAAAGTGTCCATGTGGATTGTGTTATATCAGAGAGATTGCACAGAAATTAAAGGATAGACTAGATATACTGTAAATATGCAAAAAGAGATAAAAGGACACTAGTCAGGCATTTTATTGAAAAATACAGAAGAGCCCTGGGGCCATGCTAAAACAATATGAAACAAAATTCTGACTTTGAAGTCAGAATTCTGGACTTGAAAGTCAGAATTCCGTGTTTAAAATTCTGAGTCTGAAACTCAGAATTCTGACTTTAAAAGTGAACATTCTGAGTTTTAAACACAGCATTTTAAAGCCAGAATTCTGACTTTCAAACTTAGAATTTTGATTTCAAAGTCAGAATTTTGTTTCATATTTTTTTTTTCTGCATGGCCCCAGGGCTCTTCCATAGAAAACAACCACACAACATCTCAGCTCAGATTTATGGCTCTAGACTGTGTAACTAGAGGGCCGAGAGGGGGAAATAGGGCGTTGCTTTTGAAAAGGAGAGAGGTGAAGTGGATCTTTGATTTAAACTCTATACACCCAAAGGGACTCAATGTAGACTTAACATTAAATTTGTTTCTATAATGGTGTTTGTGTAAATAAGAGGTTAATTAGATATGTGTTGAATGTTACAGGTGAAGTTTGGACATTGGGAGGATTAACCTGTGGGGTCTCTCCAACGCATGTGAAAAGACTTATTCATGATATGTAGGAGTTCATTGAATGGATCATGTGAAGCAATTTCTGGTATTTCAGATGATATAAAGAAACGTGTTTGTACCATCTGATAACAATTTGTGGGCTTAAAAAAGAACCACGCTGGGTTCAAAACTGTTGCCTTATATGAGATTATGGTGATATCATGACAAATAAAATATTGGAGTGCTGCAACACCTGCATTGTTTTTTTTAATATATATATTGTAGAATCGTGGACTGATTTTTTAACACATTTGCAGTGTGATACATCCATTTGTTTCTGATATATATGTACGTATTATGCATACCTTATCAGATGTTAGTTGGTAGCAGACAGGTAGTGGTGTGTTGGCGTTCTTGTCCTTGATAAAGTCTTTAACCTTTAATACAAGATTAAGGTTTACTCAAATATTAAAGTAGATCTAAACCTAATACTAAAATCTCATTTAAGCTTTGATGCGTTCATGTATTTTCAAAAGTTATTTTCCATCTTTTTAAATATGCAGCTTTCATAAAAAATATACCTGGTGATCCTGCCATAAAGGTCTTTGTTCAGGCACTTCTGTTATAGGGTGACAACTGTCTCCCAATTGTGCTCTGCATTGACAACCTGTCATGTAGCCCCCCTGGTGGAGACTAAACCAGCCTAAATTCGTCCAGTGGGTTCCCCTGTCGGCACCCTTCCGCCCAGCATCTCTCGATCAGAAGATCAAAGGAGGCAGTTACAAAATCTTTGGCCAAACTGTACTAGCAGCCAATAGTTCGGGTATCCTCATAGCAGCTGCTAACAGCGGGAGCTTAGTCCATCCACACTGTTTAGGAATTTGTCATATTTGCAGGTTGAACAAAGAAAATATAACAGTGTATACTAGGGATGTCCCAATACTGATACTGTCATCGGCATCGGGACCGATACAGGTAATTTTCACAAGTACTTGTACTTGCAATAATGCCCTGATACATAGCGCCGATGCTTGCGCAGGGGTGTTAAATGCATATCGCTCGATGCACGGGACATTTAGTTCCGGGCGTCAGGCGCACGGGACATTTAGTTCCGGGCGTCAGGCAAGCGGGGGCGTGGAGCACTGAGAGCAGGGGGCGTGGAGTGGTGACAGAGGAGGGGGGCATGGAGCAGTGACAGAGCGGGGGGGGCGTGGAGCGGTGACAGAGCGGGGGG